TCTATGGGGGTATCCTCAACCACTAACTTAATTCTGAGCGGATCTTTTGCTATTGTTCATACATTTAGTTTTATTGGGAGAGATGTTCATATTTAGTAGTCGGCTTGTTTGAAAGAACTGAAGAGCTGCTTTGGAGATCATCTTCTGATTCGGCATAATTGCGCATCGTCTGCGTAACACACCATACCAATTCTTTGTTGCCCATTCCATATCCGAGATTAAGAGATGTTACTTTGTTGATAATTTTGCCATGAGAAGATTAAACAAGAAGGGGCTTAAACTGTCGCCTTGTCTCCTGCTTAACTTGAGTATAGAAACCGAATTTGTTAAATCCTGTTTCGTTCATCGTCACCAAAATAGGTGGCACCTCTTTTAGCTACCACTAGTTGTGTAAAATAGGCAGATACATTCGCCGACCTTTTGTGTATGAATTTGTATCAGTAAATGATATAAATAGTCTTAATGTTTTTTTATGGTTTTTTGTAATTGATAATTGGACTTCGTCAGTCTTAGGTTTTCACTCAACGTAACCAAAAACAGAACGGAAGGATATTTGAACTCTTCGGTAACTTTTGGTCGATCGATACATGATTTTACAAATTTTGAATAATGTCTCAAAAAGTGTTTGAGCTCATCGACTGATATATATCACATGTACTATTTTGGCGACTTTAAAACAGTACTTCTGGTTGCAACTTGCAAACTGGAAGTCCAAGGTTAAATTTATCAACTTTAATACCTCAGTTGTCATTATATCTGTTCTAATAATGGAGAAGCTGTGTTCATGGACGGACAGATAGACAGACAGCCATTAATAATTCAAGGTATTCACCATGTTTTTACTGTTGCAAAATGTGCAAAAACAAACATAAAATGTAATATACGGAAAGATATTACGAATTATTTATTAGTTTATGGTTTGTTTACCGCACGAAATAAAAAAATTAATATTTTATTGCCCACATTTTATAATTTTTTGTATAATTTGCAGATTTATACTTAATTACATAATTAACACTTAATTAATGCTATCAAAACTTGGTTTATATTTAATTCTGATGCAAATAAAATCGAAAACAAAAACAAGTTTTTTACGTAGAAGTTAAGGTTGAATTCATCTCATTTTGAATGTGACCAGTGATAAAAATTGTTGCATCAGTGATCAAGTAAAAATGGTTTTCGAAATCAAGAATAAAGTGGCCATTGTTATGGTGGTGCGTTGGAATTGGACTAGCATTCGTTAAACATTCTTACATGTGGAGTCAGGGGTATATGCTCATTTTTTTTTATTATTTAATTATGTCACATAATTGGTCCATCATTAATATAAAAATGATCGCAAAATGTGTTGGTAAGCGCATAACTCAACAACGCATGGACCAATCTTAACAATTCTTTTTTTAAATGTTCCTTGAAGTCTAAGGATGGTTCCTACAGCATGAAAAATTCGAATAATTTCCGGGAAAACCCTAAAACAGGCCTTTTTTAAATAAATGTAGAGTCAATTTGAATTTTATTACTATTCAGTAAAGTTTATATTAAATTACAAAAACTCACTGTGTCTAAACAATGTAGGTGTGTTCCTAACGTCCAAGATTCAATTTGCGCTTTGTTGTCGATGTCAAAAGTCAAAAATGTAAGAGCTATAGATTTGATTGGCCTCTTACTTACTTACTCCGTGGCGTTACAACCCTTCGTGGGTTTTTAGCCGACTCGACAACATGCTCCACTGTTTTCTATCTTGAGCAACTCATCCAATTCTCCACGCCCATAGTGTTGGTGTCCTGCTATATTATCTCGCCTCGTTTTGTACAAAGAGAACAATATATAGTAAAAGTACACATGATTAAAATAAAACAATGATTACAATAAAATAAATAAGAAATAAAAGTTACAAATAACAAATTTGGAACTATTTGTTGAAAAAAATGTTAAAAATGTTAAAATCCTCAACACTGTAGAATGTGTTGTTCCATTAAAATTAATACAGTTTAGCGAAAACCTTTATGTGAAAAAATTACTGGAGAGTTAGTATATTGACTATTTTATTGTAACATTTTATTCCAATATATTCAGGTGCATGTTGAGCATCGAGCAAAAAGACAAAGAGGGAATGTAAAGGTAGTGGGGGCAAAATATTGTTAGACATGAAGTGCGATCTTTAGAGGCCATTAAACAAGGAAAGAGAGTCTCTCTCCTTGTTTGACATCAAATTTAGTTGGGTTAGTTATTGTTTGTCCCAATGTCACATGAAATCTTATTTATATTGAAGTTTTTTAACAATTGTGTCGCATTTTAGACTATTACTGTTAATAATTAATAAAACTTTCTCGTCTAAGGACACATTCTGAAAAATATTATATAGCTACTGTTATAAGTGTCGAAAATTTAAATTTGGCGCATTCGCATTTCGGATATGTCCGCCATCAGAGGTCACTTTTTTGGTCTCCTTTTCATAAGGTTTTAGATTCCCCTTTTGTCTTTTTGCTCGATGATGTTGGGTACACCTAATCTAAAGAAAGGTATGTCGAAAATTGATTAGTATATGTGACTAAATATCCTCATTTCTGTCAAACTTGAGCTTGTTTTTCTCATGTGCAATATTAATTGGAAAATTAAAAGGCTAGGTTGTGTTAAAATATTAGACTTTTTAATAGTGGCTTGCAACTATCTAAAAATGAAACGCCATATAACTTTCTTTTGAGCTATAAATGCCCATTCAAAATGAGGTGAGTAACCCCAAAATATTAAGCCATACTAAAGTACAGACTGCACTAAACTAAAGCATTGATTATAAACCATCACCAGTAGTGGTTTGGGTTAGCTATTCTGTGCTTTTTTCTTTCTGAGAGGAACCATATATAGTTGACTCCCCTACGCCAGTCATGTTGGCACAACTTTCGACTATGTTGCGAACAAGTGTTCGACTATGTTGCGAATTTATTTCGCGCAGCAGCCGACAGAGAAAGGTTTCAGGAAATTGTTAACATGATGGACGGCAACGTGGTGAATACGGACACGGCATCCAAAGAAGAAGATAAAGCGAAACAGTGTTTGTGGGATTCTGAGAAACTAGAGCATCGTGAACATTCGGACAATAGTCTTCTCTCTTGGTGAATAGACAGACTTACTGACTGTACGCAACAGTACCGGTGTTAAAACTTGATGATGTTGATGATGAAGCCATCACAAACAATCCACAAAACGAGCACGAGCGAAAGGTACGTATATGTTCGTAAGGTATATGGAATAAAAAATCACTCACGCACTGCATATAATTCGCAAAAGAAATATTCGAGACGCTAATTACTGCCGTTAGAAGCGGAAACAACGACGAGCCGTAAATTACATGCGATCAAAAAGGTACTAAACAAACAAATTGTTTTCGTTCGTAATAACTTCACCCTTTCACGTTTCGGAATATAAACTCAAACAGACGAGTCACATAGCCAAAGCCGGCATTATATTATTAAAAATCTGGAGAATTCCATCCCAATTATCTTGCAAACGAATAGTACCTTCGGATATGAATTCAGGTTTTGCAGTAAAGTGATTAAACGCGAAGATTAGTATTGAAATATCCATAGAGATAAGGATTCTAATGTACAAAATTGTTAATGGTTAAATTCTTATTTTTATTAATATATTATTATAACCAAATTAGCCGTGAAAGTTTTAATTGTTTTTTGCTAAATATATTAGTATTAAAACATTATTAATATTAATATTAATTTTAATGAATAAACACCTCAGGAACGGACTATGATGATACAAATGTAACGACTGTTTTTTGACTTTGGAGCCATATTTCGTGCTATCAACAATTTGTGAACGGATAATGGAATAAAAAAGTCATCTTTTGCAACCACAGATAGTGCGGTAACCAACCCCGACCTGAGGCTACTTGGTGCATACTAAGATATATTTTTAAAAAATATCATACATCCAAATCCAACGGGTTTTAACATTTTTTTTTTTACAAATAGAGGTAGGCAAAAACATGAAACTATCTGTTTTGTAAAAAATTAACGTCAAAATTTTTTAATTTATTGTTTAACTGAAATTTAAAAATTCTATGAACCAGTCATGGTCTCCTATGCAAAAGATGATGTTTTATAAGAATAAACTGTAGATGTATTGTCGAAAAAGTTATTCTTAACATTGTCCAATGGCATCCAGTAAACTTGGATTAGCAGTTCATCTGCCACCTTCATGGTTGCTTCATATAGAGGTTACTAATAGCGTACACAATGTAGCAACGTACAGAGAATATAATACAGAGAACTTTCAAAGAAAAGACAACAAGGAAAAATATTAAGGAAGACATAGGTTGTAAGAAAAAAGAGAAGAATTAACCATTGGGAAAAATTAAATTGTTACTAAACAAACTAAAACACCAGGGTAAGAGACAGGGATAAAAGAATACCACTCGTGCAACAACAGTGAACTATACAAGTCTTCTAAAACACTTTAAGCAGCAACCAGTGAGCAAGAAGTAACAAAAATGTATAAGCGGTGAAGCAGCTGGAATATATGGTAAAACTGCTGAAATAAGCTGACAAAAAAACCTGGAAAATCTTAGCAGGTATATTTACGAACTGCCCAAGATCAATATGCGTACCAAATCACTGGAATACAGCAAACATCTTTATTATTCTAATAAAGATAGCAAAGAGGACTTATAAGTCTACTAACAATCATATACAAGCTATTCACAAAGACCATCAACAACATATTAACAAAAGCATTGGATACTGAACAGCCAAGAGCAAGCTGGCTTCAGAAGTGGATTCAGTACCTAGATCATATCCATAGCCTTCGAGAATTAATGATAAAGCTAACCAATATAAATTACCACTAGTCTTAATATGTATAGACTTCGAGAAGTCTCAGGTCTTTATTTGAACCAAAATAAAGAAACAAAGAAAACCTTTCAATTGGTACCAACTATTTTGTGATTTGTGAGTTGAAATATATCTAAACATCTTCATTTGTTTTAGGGTGTTGTCATAGCCGATATCAATGCAGAAGCCGGTAAAAAAATTTCTGAAGAATTAAACAAAGAATTTGGCGTAGAAAAAGTGGTATTTGTTCAAACCGACGTTCGCGATCAAAAAAGTCTAGAAAGTAAACATTATTTTCATAGTTTTCCTTGTTTAATATAGTTTGTTTTAGATGCTTTTGTTACTACTTTAAACCATTTCAAATATATTGATATCCTTATTAATAACGCTGGAGTTTGTATGGAGAATCAGTGGGAAACTACAGTTGATATTAATTTGGTATGTAGATCTTTATAATAATACTATTATTTATACACTAACATTAAAATACAACATTATAATATATATTTAGAATTTCTATAAATATACAATACGCTACAAATATGTGCAGATTGTGGGAGACATGTATGAGGAGTAACAACTGGTGTTAGGACAGGTATGGGGAATCAAAATGTAATTCGGTGTAGATTGAAACTAATTTTATATCAAAGTTAAGGTAAAAACAAAAGATATTTTCAAGAAAGTTTATGATTTTTATAAAGGATTCATCCATCGGGGTTTTTATGAAAGTTTTTACGATTTTTTTCTGCAAAGTTGAAGGAACAAGCTTTTATTTAAGACTTGCTTAATTAAATTTAACTCTTAATTAATTTTAAATTAATTATAAATAAACCCTGAAAAACAAATTTGCAAAAAAATTATTATTTGTATTATGAATAAGCACTATTAATATTTTATTTCGCAGGAAAAGTTGCATTGCCAATATACAGCAAAAAAACTGGTTTCAATTACAAAACTGCAGTTATTGTCGATAGAGTTTATAACGTCTCATTTTTTGTTTTTATGTATACTTGCAAGCTACTGAAATGTTAAGCGAACAGGAAAACCCATGCTAGTGGCGAACAGTTTTAAATATAATTTTCACAAGGTATTGTGGTGAGAAATGAAGCGATGGCATTGTGCACACGGAAAATGTAACTTATATGTGACAATGGAAAGCTCCGAACAGTACACAGTGGTCGACTTTGGTGGTGAACACAACCATGAGAGCAGTCTTGGAAAAGCTAAACGCCAAAAACTCAACAATCCATTGTAGAGAAAGGACGTTAAAGATATTTGTGAGAAGTCCATAAATTTCTTTACAAAGAGGTGAACTGTTCTGGCATTTAAACGCTTACTGTAATTGATTTACATCTGATAAGGAACTGCATCTACTGCAGTCAAAGAAAGGTATTACCTAAACTACTTAACAAGTGTTAACCCTTTCTTTACCTGCGACGTATATATACGGTTTGCGGAAAAGTGCCACTGTTCCCAGTGACGTATATATACGTTCTCAAGTGAACACGTTTTTAATACGATGCCGTTTGTATACGGCATCAAATTTTTTTTACACCTCTGCCAGCCCCATTGCCGCATCTATCCGGCATTGTTACAGTGCCATCAGCCCCAATCCCGTATTGGTACGTTCGAACATGCATGTGATGAACCCACTATGCAGCTTCTGATACACGGCGTTTCGGTGACTGGAAAGTATGGTCGGGTTTTTGGTCTATTTTTAGCATGCGTCTTGTACCGCAAATATCACGTTAGCACGGACTATGCAGTATCTCTGCTGTTACTGTTGCAGTGCAAATGTATTGTGAAATTTCAAGAAAATGTCTGATTCGAGAAAAAAAGGCGCTCATGCGATACAGGTGGTTTGTTGGACTAACGCAAAAAGAAATATGATGATATACTGGCATGCTTGGATTCCGATGAAGAGCCTTTTGTAGAAAGTGAAAGCGATTATGTACCAGATAGCGATAATTCAGAAGAGGAGGAGATTGTTAATATTATTTATGGGAATGATGAAGCTATTTCTGAAAATGAAGGTGCTGATAAGGACCAAGCGAAGTTGTGGTTGCAAATACATCGAGAAATGAAAGCAAAAGAGCTTTAGCGGATGATTTTAGTATACAGTGGGCTAAACAGCTATTTGTTCTGTCGTGTACGAGTTTGATGACACAAATTTAGGTGCCCATTTAGACAATATTGAGATCAATATTGAAGGCATCGAAGGGAGGTCACTATGCTTACTACCATACACCAAGACAAAATGGTAAAATTGGCTAAAAAAGACAGAAAGACAAACGAATTCATTAAAAAACCAGCTTGTGTGAATAGATTACAATATGAATATGGGAGCAGTGGACAGGACTGACATGTTACTAAGTTCCACAGAAAGCGTCAGGAAAACCGACAAATAGTATAAAAAGCTCTTCTTTCACATATTGGACTCTTTTTATTTTAAATGCATATGCAATATACCTTACACAACACCAGAGAAAACACCATTGGCCCAGTTTCACTTGAATCTTATTCGTCAGCTTCTAGACAGGTATGTGGATCTAATCTTGAAATTATTCTTATCTACATGTATCTTGTTTAGGTATCATTTACCAAAATAACAACTGTAGTGCCTGTGCGAAACGTTTTTCGTCTTGTACGGTAGACATTTTCCTGATATTGTTCCCAACAACAAAGTTCGTAGATGCAATGTTTGCTTAACAACAAATACACAAGCAAAGAAACGGCACGAATCAAGGTATATGTGTCGGGAATGTGACGTGGGTCTCTGCGCATATCCTTGCTTTGGCATTTACCATACCCAGGAACAATTCTAATGACTACTTTCATATTCATTTTATATTTAGTTTATAGTTAATTATTGAAAATACTTTCGTTTATATTTTTTTGAACATTAAAGAGCATTTTCTGAGTTTTCTTTGCATTTAATGAGCAACCGTATACATACGTCGTTGATACTGCTGATATTTCACAAAATCCTGGGAACAGTGGCACTGCGTCGCTGATCAGTACTGGTAAAGAAAGGGTTAAGAAAGTCCATGAAGTGCAAAATACAAATAAAGGAGAGCAGTTCTTATTAAAGATCGATTTGGACGCCAATTTCGTGGAGTTTTCTTGTGAAACAAATTTAAAATTTTTGTACTTAGAATATTTGTAGTGTTACTATTTAATCATCTTTTTTGTAGAAAGGAACTATTGGAGGAATGATCCTTGGTATGGAAAAATATTTAAGATATCACAAAGAAGGAGATGAAGCAGTAATTCTAAATGTTTCTTCTCTGAGTGTTACAGACAAAGTATTTATTACGCCTGTCTATGTAGCTACAAAGTATGGCGTGATAGGTTTGACTAGAAATTGGGGTGATCCCTTTCACTATAACAGAACTAAAGTAAGGGTTTTGGCTATTTGCCCGGGTATGACAGAGACTCCCATTTTGGACAATTTAAGACATCGTCTCCTTAATGAAGAATACACTGCAATGTATGATGAAGTTATTAGAGAGTTTGAAGTCCTCTGTCAACCGTAAGTTGTTATTATATCTAGATATAAAGTATGATCTGGTTGCACTATATATATATATATATATATATATATATATATATATATATTATATATATATATATATATAATATATATATATATATATATATATCAATTCTAGAGAGGCGAGAAACATGAACAGAAACGGTTATTTTTAGAAATGACACATATACAAAAAAATAAAAAATGTGTAAATAGAAGATCAGATATTGACAAATTAAATAACATTTATTGTTACATATTAACATATCAATAAATACCGTCAAGATCTCATTTTCTATTGACATCCTAACATTAAAAATTCATATGTGCTTAAGCCAAACTGCTGACTGGATTAATTTATATTTTTTTATAGACAATTAAATAAATTATAATAAAAAACTATTGTTACTGGTTTTGCTTTCCACATAAAGTAACTGTATTTTCATTCATGTATGTCCATTAATCAAACCATGACAATGACATATATAGTGACAATATAGTTATTTTTATAAAAAAAAATTTTAATATATTTATAATGGTTTGTTTTGTGGAGTACAATAGCATTAACAACTGTAATCTCACGACTAGTAAGTAAGACAATTAACAATTTTAACTAGTTAATTTATATTTCTTTTTATAGATGTCTTGAAAAAGAATTAATAAAATTCGAAAGCTTGACAGTAAGTCAAAGAGTTTTCTTTGTCTTGTGGGCCAAATAAACTGACTGCATCCTCAAAAATGATAATTTATTATTTAAATCAACAGTCAAGAATACCACCATCTTATATTTATATATATATATATATATTTATATATATATTATATATATATATACTGGGTGGTGAATCGTCAAACGGGCCATAGGGAACTCAATGGGAAATTTTAAATTGTTGAATTGCTGCTTCCCTAATTATTTTAGATCAAAAGTCATAAAAAAACTATTTGTAGAAGGCTAAATTCTGAATTAAAAACAAATGTTAAAATCATTCTACGAATCAAATGTACTTCAAAATTTTGCAAAAATATAAAGATTTTTCAGCCCACCCCTAAAAGTTAGGCCACACGTATACAAGAATATATTATAACGTGTGTGTTTTATCATATTGATGTCAGATGTTCGACAATTTGAATTGTCAATTTTTTTTTTATTTTATGATTAAAATTATAAACAATAAATTTTACTAAAATACTAAATAAATTATATTGTTTACAATCGATCAATATAATGAAATATACTCAGTTGACGAAAAATCGCATAATGTATTCAGGCAATTCGCCGTGAGTTTCGCTGGTAGCGCTCCCTTTGCGGTTTGAAACTTGTACTTTTCTTGTAAAATCAGTGTAAATGAAATATGACAAAACGAGAAAAATAGATATTTATTTAAAAATACAAGATAATGAACTCAAATATTATGGTAAACTGATTACTGAACGAATACACAGAATTAATAGTAAAAGTAATTACGCCTTGTTATTTTTATTCATTATAATTATAATATTTAAGATATAAGTTCTTGCGACTGGATGACTACTTACGCAAGAGGTCATTGAGAAAAAGAAGAAGTTTATATAAAAATATTTAATGGTTAAAGCAAATATTTAAGGTTATAGGCGCTTAAAACGTCTATATTCTTTAGTTAAAGGTTACCTTTACCTCTGTAACGTTGTAATTCTTGTTTTTATTTTATTCTGTTTTGCTCAGTTTTTTTTTGGCGTGCGTAGGCCTTAGTGCTTAGATATCAATTTGTTTTAATTCTTCTTCTTCTTCTTTCGTTTTATGGCCTCCACCTCTTAAATTTGTTTTAATTTTATCAAAATGGATATTAAACATTATACTGGTTTTAAGTCTATATCACATGATATCCCATTTCAACCAGCTACACCAAAAAAGGGAAAAGGTTTAGTTGATGCAGGGCATGTATGCATGTTCGGAATATAATAGCTTTTTAATTTTACACCATACAAATATCTTGTTTGCATTATAGGTTATTTACTTATTTTTCTCATTGATAGCAATAATCCATTTTTCTCTTTGAACTATTTTATGCTTGGCAACAGGAAATTAATAACATTTACAGTAACTGTTGTACCCAGTATTTTTACATGTATCATATATGTAAAATATCATGAAGTATTGCATCCTTACATTCCAAATTCCCAAAATCTGGAGGAAAGCTAGAGTGGTGGTCTCTCTTAAAACCAAGAAAGGATCCGGCGGATACAAAAAGTTTTAGACCTGTCTTTAGAAAAAGAAGAAGTTTATATAAAAATATTTAATGGTTAAAGCAAAATATTTAAGGTTATAGGCGCTTAAAACGTCTATATTCTTTAGTTAAAGGTTACCTTTACCTCTGTAACGTTGTAATTCTTGTTTTTATTTTTATTCTGTTTTGCTCAGTTATTTTTTGCGCGTGCGTAGGCCTTAGTGCTTAAATATCAATTTGTTTTAATTCTTCTTCTTCTTCTTTCGTTTTATGGCCTCCACCCCTTAAATTTGTTTTAATTTTATCAAAATGGATATTAAACATTATACTGGTTTTAAGTCTATATCACATAATATCCCATTTCAACCAGCTACACCAAAAAAGGGAAAAGGTTTAGTTGATGCAGGGCATGTATGCAATGTTTCGGAATTAATAGCTTTTTAATTTTACACCATACAAATATCTTGTTTGCATTATAGGTTATTTACTTATTTTTCTCATTGATAGCAATAATCCATTTTCTCTTTGAACTATTTTTATGCTTGGCAAACAGGAAATTAATAAAATTTACAGTAACTGTTGTACCCAGTATTTTTACATGTATCATATATTTTTCTTTTTGAAAAATCCATATTCGCCATTATTTGAATGTTTACAAGTTAAATTGCACAAAACTGCACTAACAGCGTTGGGTGAAAACTGTCAAATCCCCTCTACTCATCGGCTCACAGCGAATAGCGCGAACCTTTTCCTGTCACTACGAGATCTTTATTTAACGTCAGATATTCTAATACACTAAATTTAATTCCATGTTAAAGTTATACAACAATTCAATGAATTCCAATATACTGTTACTGTGATCTATATACCGAATATAGAATAATAATATATGATAATTTCTAAACAATGTTATAAACAAATGTTATAATAAAAACATGAATAAAACATTTTTATTATTGCTCTTTTCTCCTTAACTGAGTACATTATTTAATCAACTTAATTTTTCTTTTAAATAATAAATCACAAAATTTTGGCCATTTAAATCATAGATAAATATAAAATAGTTGATTTAAATATTGTCAATTATTAGAAACGTCAATATGACAAAACGCAACACGTAATACACATTCTTTTCACGGCGTCTGGCCTGACTTTGAGGGGTGGCCTGAAAAATGTATTATATTTTACCAAAATTTTGGAATACTTTAAGCTACTCGTGGCTAGTTTATTCATGTTTGCCTTGGTTAGGGTCCAGGTTTGACATCCATATGTCATGATAGGAAGGACGCATTGGTTGAACACTTTGCTACTCAAGTATTGGTGTATTTTGCGGTTCTTAAGTATCCAACTAAGTTTTCCAAATCCTGCCCATGCTAGTCTTGCTCTTCTAGTAATTTCCGCACTTTGGTTATCTTTGGTCAAGTCTCAGGATTTGGCTTAGGTAGATATATTCCTGGATTTGTTCTATCTCACTGCCGTTTATAGTTATATGTCTGGGGTCTTCTGTGTTATAAATCAGATAAAAGGAGGTAGTTATCTGTGAAAAAATAAACAAATGATTAAATCGGTTTATAAGGATTACCTAGAAGACGATATGTTTATAGAGGACTTCGCGGCACTGTATTGTGATTTAACGAAAATATCGGCTCGTACCATTTTTCGAATAATTCAAGGTAATAAACCACTTCAAAAACCTCTCTCGTTTCGTGCCCCTCCAGTCTCTATCATTTTAAAACGATGCCCTGACAATCCTATTGAATTTGGACTTAAAGATGTATACTTTCAATCCCACATATCTTACAACCTTTGTGCCAAGACACAAAATTATCTCAAACACTTTTATAAAATCAGAATCCTGCCATGGCCTAGAACAACACCTTTTATTAACACTTCACTCTGTAAATGTAATAAGCAACCAACAAATAATATCATTTCTCGACAAGATTGCAAGAATATTGTGAATACATCCCACTATGATAAGGTGCTTTATACCGAATGCATCCGAAACGCAGATTGACAATACCGAATATTAAACGAATGTAGCGTATTTTCAGGAGAGCTCTTCAGTAATTCAAAAGCTTTCGAGTTGCTTTGTGTAGCCATTCCTTATCCGCAACACATTCGTTAAAAAATATTCACAATCAACATCACTTAGTGTAAAAAAATACTAGAATTGATCCATCTCCACACTTTCCGAAGGACTTCAATAACAATAATATAGGTGCCTTGTCATATCGGCATCCAAGGAAATGAGATAGCTGACAGCGCTGCAAAAGAAGTATCTACGTTCAATTGACCCATCTACAACATACAGCTCCAAAGAAGATATAAAATCAAAATTCAGAAGGAATATTCAAGACAAATGACAGGAACTTTGGATCATCAGAAACACAAAGCTCAAAGTCAGAGAAATACAACCTAATATTAACAGCTATTTATCTTAGCATCTCTGAACAGAAAAGAGAAGATAGCAATATTAATATTAAGGATAGGACACACGGTGATTTATATTCTCTACAACCAACGTAATACTCCCACTGCAACGAAATTCCTACTACCGTCAAGCACATCCTCTCGAAATGTCAACACTACAGGCCTATTCGCATTACCAACAATATAATCCACAGTTTAAACTTTACTATTGTAAACTTATATCATAACTCTGTAGTACTAAACCTTTGCTCCCGTGTCAATGACCAAAGATGTCAAGACACGTTAATTCAAAAAAAATTCCATTGTTATATTTTATAACAGAATATTTTCTGGTTGTGTGATTTTCAACACAGCACAGACCAATAATTTGCTTTTTGAACGTGGCAATCAGATACGAAATTGTTTCTTTCAAGAGAAAGTTTACTTTCACTAAAGCAAAATGGGAAAAATTCGCTGAAGCATTAGATCGAGAAGTTTCCCAGCTAGAACCGTGCTCTCATTCATACGATAAATTTGTACAAATCGTTAAAACAAATATTACGAAAATATATTCCTAGAAAATCTTAACCTCTACTTAAAGATACGAGCAGCTATATGAAGACGATCAGGTCGGCCATCCGCCAATAGAATGGACAAGTGCTGCAAGCTGGTCACGAGTTAGACATGAAACGAAACAGCAGACGCGGAAATTAATTCGGAATCTTGGCAACAATCCGCTACCCCGGCACCCAATCTGACAAAATCACACCGATTAGTTAGCCCATCGTCTCGTGACAAATGTAAGACGACATCAAGGAAGAACAAAGTGAGAGTACAACGAAATATCGATGAAGAAGAGGATGTTCTAGGTACCTTCTTTTCTCTGGAGAAGATGAGATGTGCGATCCACCAAATGAAAGATAATATAGCGGCTGGCTGGACGATATACGAATAGACAAAAACCCTAGAGTGTGCTCGTAAAAATGATGAAGTGTTGCGTCTGTACATTCCAAATCCCCAAAATCTGGAGGAAAGCTAGAGCGGTGGCCTTCTTAAAACCAGGAAAGGATCCGGCGGATACAAACCTTTGGAAAGTTCTAGACCTGTCTCTCTTTTGTGTCACCTTTTCAAGGCGTTCGAAAAAATGATACTGAACCGGATCGCTGAATCTGTGGAGACTAAAATTATTCCTGAATAAGTAGGGTTTTAGACTCATAAAATGCTGCCGCCGTCAAACTCTTAATCTCACCCAACATATTGAAGATTGGTTTGGAATGGAAAAAAATAAACAGGAGTAGCGTTCATAGACCTGACAGCCGCCTATGACACAGTTAACCATCAACGGCTGCTGGTAAAACTCTACGAAATTACAAAGGATTTTCGAATAAAAAGTTTAATGGAATGCCTTCTCCAGAATAGACGCTTCTACGTAACGCTCCAGTCAAGAACAGTCGGTGGAGGGATCAAAAAATGGACTCCCACAGGGAATGTCCTCGCACCATTACTATACAACATTTACACCAACGACCAACCAAAAACCAACAAACACGACAGTTTATTTACGCGGATGATACAGCTGTGGCAGCTCAGGGAAGTACCTTCAATGAAGTCGAAGTAAAACTGACAGATGCCCTAGAAGACTTAGCACTATACTATGACGAAAACCATCTGAAATCCAACCTACAAAAACCCAGTATGTGTTTCTACCTTAAAAACAAGCATGTCCGAAGGACACTCAGGCGTGGTGGAATGGCGTGGTCAGATGCTGGAACACAATGAGACGCCAAAATACCTCGGCGTAGTCTGGATAGAACTCTGTCTTATCGATATCACGTCAAGATATCAAGAAAAAAGTAAGCGCCAGAAATAATATCATCTGCAAACTACAAACACAAAATGGGTACACAACCACACACTCTCCGTACCTCTGCCTTAACATTATGTTTTTCTGCGCCGAGTTTGGAGCACCAGTGTGGTAAAACTCTGCTCACGCTAAAAACGTCGATGTTGCGTTAAATGAAACGGTTCGTATAATATCTGGTTGCCTGAAACCGACACCTATCGAAGAGGTCTACCTTATAGTTGGAATAGCTACCACTGCTATCAGAAGACAGGTCACGTCAGAGATAGAACGAAAGAAGCAGGAAACGGATCGAAGACACCCCTTGTATGACACAAAGTTCAGCCAAGTAGATTAAGATCTCGGAAAAGCTTTCTGAAAAAATCACGATCCTTCCCGACGAGCCAAAGACGCGCCGAATACACCTATGGCAAGCGTAAGCTACAACACATTTTGCTCCCTCAGAGGAAATGACCGATGGACACATTGCCGTATCCCATCGGAAAGCGCTAAACAGACTAAGAACTGGCGTTTCACGTTGTGCTAGTAACCTGAAGAAATGGGATAACAGGAGGACGATACCTGCGACTGTGGCGCGGTTCAGAATAGTCACCATCTTCATATCAATCAGCCAATCGCGTCCACTGCTGGACATAGGCCTCCCTCAGTTCTTTCAGTGTTCTCTACACTGGGTCGCTTGTAGCCAGTTTCCCGCTACACGTTTAATGTCATCGGTCCATCTAGTCGGTGGTCGTCCTCGGCTTCTTTTATAGTTTCTACGCTACATCAAGTATACAGTCGTATACTTGCTGTAGCGTTCTGATAGATGTTTTTGATTAGTGTCGTGTACCTGTAATCTATTCGGTTTTGATTTAGGGCTTCCAGTATGGTTTCAAACTCTACAGAATCAAAAGACTTCTCGTAATCGACAAATGCAAGAACCAGTGGTATGTTGTACTCGATGCACTTTTCTATTAAGATCTTTATGGTATGCAAATGGTCATTTGTGCCATATCCTACACCACTACTAGTCACCATCTACTAACATGCAAAGAGATGAGAGAGACCTGCACAGAAGAAGACCTTTTTTAGCGATTGACAGGGCCATCTATGTGGTCAACCATTGGAAACACAAAAATGGTTATTACTTTATGTTCTCGTTTTTATTAAATATTAAGTACTGACCAATTTTATTAATGATTGTTAATTTTTAGAGCTGATCATGTCGCTAAAGTGTCTATGTCATTGTTGGAACACGCACCAAATGGATCTGCATGGATAATAGAAGGTAGCGAAGCTCCATACCAATTGAAGCATTTAGACAAAAGTGCCTTCAAAGATAACTTGTTAAAGATAGATACTTAGTTAATGATATAGTATTTATATGTCAGTTCACTATAAAACTGCAGGATTTGGTACCTTGAAAACCTTTCAAATTTATTTTGTATAATGTACTACCATTAAAAATAAAAAAAAAAATTAAAATGGAATAAATATAAAATTATTACTGTTTTAATCATGTTCCAAATGGGTCTTTATATTTAATCAGTCTTGATTAATTTTTATTTGGCAATTATAAATTCACCAAGAAAAACTTTATTAGCCTTTTAGCATGCCAGTGATTTAGTTGTTTATATTAAAGGAAGGGACGTCACACTTATGTCCTCGATTTTGCAGAATTTTAATGTAACCCACATAACAATTTCATGTTCTTACTAGATTTATAGAACATTTCATCATCAGTATCATCCAGCTTTCATTTATCACGTCCACCACTGGTAATAGGCCTCCCTTAAATCCATCCATTCTTTTTTTTCTTTGAAAGAAAAAGAAAGAAGAATTATATAACATTACTTTTCAGAAAAAGTAAATGTTGAGAATATCCATAATTACCATTGAGAATGTATTTGTTTATATACTCAGAATGTACTACCGCACATCTTTTTAGTATTTGGCTTTTAAAAACATGATCTTCTCTAACCCGTTTTGGAGACATAATATTATATAGTTTACACTGCGCTGCGTATCAAAATAAAAATACTGAATATATAATACTTAACTAAAATTTATATATATGGGAACACGGGGCGAAAAGAACCGACGGTGCAGAATGAGATTTGTACTTTTTCACGCGTGTATTATGCTGCCATCTACGCTGTTTATTAACTGCGAAGCAAAGCAAAGGTATTTGTATATATTACTTGTGATTGTTTCAGATCATTTCAGATCTGAAGGTAAGTGATTTTGAGAGGAATTTTTCTTATTTCTTATTCAGCATTAAGTACCTACCATGGTATAAAGAATAACAGGTATGATACTGCCGAGCTCGAAATTGGGGATGAGTTCGCACATTGCGTCACAATGAGAGTGATTTTATGGCAATAAAAAGTCATTTTAATAGATTAATAGAGTTTCTATGGAACTATTTCGGATTCATTGAAATATAGGTGTTTTATTATTTTGATTGAAAAAATAATAAATAATACAATGAAAAAAAAATAAATTTGTGAATTTTTTTGTTTTTCGCTTTTTAATCCTAGAAAGATAACCTTCGTAAATTTTACGAGCTCGCTTTTGATTGTATTGTCTTATTTGGCGCCAGTGTCGAGAAGGAAAAAAAACCTTCGTCTAAACATAAATGGAAACAAATAATTGATCATTAACTATCTGCACTAAAATCGGAAAACAAATCAAACACAAGGTTTTAAGTTACAATTTTTATTAATTTGCTTTTAATTCTTATAACTTCTTTAAGTTTTAGGTTTAATTTCTTAATTTTGAAATCATTCGAGATCGGAAGAACAGATGTTTGATTTTGTAGTCACATTCAATGTTCTCCGATAAGTCAATTAGTCTTTGTAAATAATTTTTTATGTGTACCTTGGCACCAACGTAAATGCAAAATGGGAACAGGCCACAGAAATTAAGTCGAGAATAGAACGAGCTAGAGCAGCATTTAACAATATGAAAAAGCTTCTCAAAGCAAGGATTTGTCTCTTCCCCTAAAATACTTCTACAAATTGCTGTATATTATAATATTAACAAGGAAAAAGGGCATTGTCAACAAAGGACCAGAACTACTAACGGAAATCACAATTAACGAAATAAAACTAGCCCTAATAAAAGTTAATAATAACAAATCTCCCGGCGAAGATTGTGTAGTTACTGATGCAAACAACATCGGAGGCTCTTGCTTACTCAAGAAAATAAAAAACCTTTTTAACATGTGCCTTTTGGACAGTAATATATGTACCCGACAAATGGTACAATGCTGAGGTAATTCTATTGTACAAAAAAGGAGATCTCCATGAATTAGAAAACTACAGACCTATAAGTCTTCTTCACCAATACAAACTCCTTACGAGGAATCAAATAGTAACAAATCGTCTTAAGAAAAAACTTGATTTCTACCAGCCAATAGAGCAAGCGGGATTTCGTATCGGATTTGGATCAAATGATCACCTACAGAGCATTAAAACGGTAATAGAAAAGACTATCGAATACAATCGACCACTCATTCTGGCTTTTGTAGATTTCCATAAAACCTTTGACATGGTATAATTTGACAAAATCCTGGAAGCACTACAAACATGCTGCATTGACTACCTTAAAAGTCCTCAAGATAAAGCACAATGTACAAAAATTAGGGAGGCCTTTGTCCAGCAGTAGACGCAAAGGGCTGGGGTGACGATGACGATACTCATGGATGTAGATTACAGAAATTAAAAATAGAAACAAAAAGCCAAAGAAATATAAAAAAAAATAAAGAACAACAAAAAATATTACCGAGGCATATGCAGACTCTATAGATCTGGGAATACATGCCTCACCGCATTGTTTACTAATAAGTTTCGTTTACAGATAGTTTCCATTCTATATTTAATTTCTCAATGTGGACTTCTTGTATTGACAGACACATACTTGGTGGCCCTCCAGCAACGAGAACAAACATCCAAGATAAATCCAAAACTACTAACTGTGTATGTGTGTGTGTGTGTGTGTGTGCGCGCACGTGCGTGAGTGTTCGTGCGTGCGTCAAAGATGACAACATACTATCAGCTTTGTATTCTTCTTACTTCTTCTTAAACTTGTAAGGGCATAGGAATTGTAAAAAAAACAAAAATATAACAAGTAAAATATTTTATATTACATATTAACACTTACTGTACAAGTTTATAATGTTTTTTAAATCAATTATTAACAGACCATTGGTAAAATATGTCCACATCTACCAGATATTTTTAAATCCACCAAGTGATCACCTCTCGTTTGACCAATATTAACAATTGCTATCTTTTTCTTTTCTTCGGCTGCCTGTAAAACAATCCTGTAACTTGAAAATACTGTCAAGCTAGTTCCTAAGACTAACACAGAATCGCTATTATTAACAGCTTCCTTCACAGCTTTTACTCGTTCTAGAGGAACATTGTCTCCAAAAAATACAATATCTGGTTTTAAAATTCCGTTACAGGTAACACAGATTGGTTGTTTAAATATATCAATGGCTTCCTAAAAACAAACATATCACATTTATGTATGGTTGGTCCGCTTGTTCTTTGCAGAATATGTTGATAATAAAGGACATTGATTCAGGATACATAACAGTAAAGAAGTTTATTAGGAACACTATAAAAAAACCAAAAGTACCAACATTTAACAATTTTTTTTATTTTATTTATTTAATGTTAATGTTTATTCTGATTACGTTAATTATAAAATATACCATTAGTTTCTCCTGGTATCATTCATTGTAGAATATGAAAAAAAGTAGTGCTTTTGCATTTTGCTTAAAATGGTTATATCCAACAAATCAAATCTAGCAAAATTTCATTACCTGTGGAATATCAACATCTCCATCTGGCCTAATCATTGTTGTAGCTTCTGGCATGTGTGGATTTAGTTTCCTTAATTCTTGCTGGATGTCATGTCTAGTGTAGTTAGCTTTACAGCCTAAACATATTACTCTATAGCCACTTCCATGCAATTCTATCACTTTTTCACTTCCAGCTTTGTAATGTAAGTTGTCTACATTCTGAGTAACAACACTAGATACCTAAAATTTAATTATGATCAATATAGATTTATGAAATATATAAGGAATAGCTTGGAAAAGAGGTTAAAATAAGAACAAAAGGAAAAAAACATTCCTCTGAAAGAAAAAGCATAAAAGTCTAGGAAAACTCTAGGGGAAAATATCCTGGTTATAGAACTTTGTTTCCAAATTTACATCACCTGGTTGCCAATAATCATACATTCTACAAGATCCTTCTACAGACCATCTATGGATCTACTTGTTAATAACAATAAAGGTTAAAAAATTTCAAATGCATACCTTCTTCAAATCATGTTCCAGGTTTCTAATTGAATAATGAATAACATTTGGTTGTCGTTGTGAAAAATTATCCCATCCCACAAAGTTTCTGGCCCAATATCTTTTCCTAGAAGCAGCATTTTTTAGAAACTCTTGGTACTGAATAGGCTTGTGATTTGTTCTTGCATATAAACCAACATCTTCAGATCGATAATCTGGTATACCTAGAATGGAATATTGAAAAGTTAGGTAAAATTGATATTTTGTAATATAGAACTCAGACTAAATTTAAAATCAAATTGTTAGTTTTATAGCATCAGATTAATTTATAGGAAAGACAAGCAAATTAACAATTAAAAATACAGTAAAGTAATACAAAATAACAGAAAATCAACAAAGTAAACAGAAAAGCTCAGAATGAAGCAATGCAAACAAAACAGCAATCATGGGGAGAAAAGTTTATTTGTCAAAGTGAAAATGATTTACACAAGACAAAATTTTGCTTACTAATGATAAAACAACCAAATAACACAGGAAAATATACCATCCACTTAGAAGTCATTAATCAACAACCAAAGAATATAAGCGTTTAATTCTTTGGAACAACAATAGATGCAACAATGTGAGAATATAGCAGTTGTGTAGAATCTAGCAGTTGTGTAGAAAAGTACATAGAAGAACAAACTTTTTATGGAATTGACCATTTAACAATGCAATAACTTCATGTGATGATCACAAGAATAGAAAAACAACAGGAGCGGATCAAACATTTATGGAACTTCTAAGATATGGAGTGCATATGGAGTGTTCTTACAAACATCACATCTTACAACCAATGTTGATTGGAATACAAAATACAATACCTGAAACGTGACAAAAGTATCATTAATTAAATAAGGCGATATGTGCAATATTTAGAAAACGGTAGAACTCTATTTTGAATAATGAATTTCATTTATGTGTTAGCTAAAAATCATATAAATCGAGCAAAACTGCAACGACGAACTGTAAGTTGCCTACATTTGGCGCATCATAAAATGACCAAGTACCAAAGATCAAGGAAATATGACGAGACGAACCTGATTCTGTTGATATGCCAGCTCCTGTAAGGACTAGCAATTTTTTAGAATTGTCTATAAAATTTCTTAAAGCGTTTATATCATCTTGTGACACTGCACTATACTTGGGAACAAATTTTAACAGCTCAGTTGAAAAATTTCTGGATTTCAATTTCAATTTATTTAACCTAAAAATAGACATTTGTGACAATTTATGTCATTATTCATTACACTCTTCTTTGTATAGCAGGCTGTCTTATCCGTTTCTTCATACTTATTCAGGTAGCGTTTGACATCAATAATTATTATTAGTTCATTGCTACGCCTTTGTAAAGTTGTAGAGAAATAAGGATAGAATAATAATTCGCAATAAAAGTTCATTTGATAGTGTTAATTTATTTTCCGCGTCACAGAGAATTATCAAGTAAAATTTTATTCTTCCGTTATTTTGACACGTGCACGCTATTTTTTGCGGTATAAAGGCTGAAAGGCTTTCATATTGAAAGTATACCCATTTTTCTGTGCATAATTTGTAGAGTTTTATCCCAAATTTATGTTTTTTATTTTTGATATATTGTTTGAAAGCCAGCCGTCCACGAAACGGTTCTATCATCAATGCATATGATTTTGTTCGGAATTCTGGCCGTTTGAAATTTGGCCAGTAAACGATCAATTAAGGTTGAATTTTGAAAAGTCGATCACCTCTTGGATATTCTGTATTTTTAGAAAAATGCCACATACGTAATATTAGGTTGTTCGGTGATATTAGTTCGAAACGATTTCGTAACATACGCGGTGGTAGTGTGCTATGACATACGCTTTTGATATCATTGACGTACAGGATATTCTTGGACCCAATAATCGGATAGTTGAGGTTTTTTATTTAAATCCATCCACATAATTATACCCAGGAAGATTTTAAATTCTGAATTTGTTAGAGGTTTCCATCTTTTGACTCTTGAATACTGCGAAAAATTTTCATTTTGTTTGATCTGCTCAGCATATCTGTTTGTTTCAGTTACAATATAGTCAATGATATCATCTGTTAGAAAAAAATTAAAGAAATCATAGGTTTTTTTTTTGCGCTAATAGCGATGCAAACATCAGGTGAAATACCAGGATGTACTGCATTTAAATCAAATATCTTTAGATTTTTCCCGTTACAGCAGTCCATGTAATTTGAAATTCGGTAGGAGTAACAGGAAGTTCAATGCCATCGTGATCTGTGTCTTCAGGTGATTCACTAGATATCAATCTATATATGATCTGTTGTCTCCGTGATACGGCTTGAAGATTGTTCCACAGTTTTACGACTATCACTAAATGATTCACGACTGGCCCGCAACACTACACTACTTCTCACTTGATCTAGAGTAGGTACTTGTAGATGGTTCTGCACTTTTTCGTTTCCATTTTTTGGTAGCCGGTTCTTCTTGTTCACTATCTGAGCTGGACATAGATGGTATATAATCGTCTTCAGAATTGTCACTTTCGAAAAGATCATTTACACCCTCATCACTCATATCAAAGTATTCATCCTCATGCAATCTCTGCAAATATTGTTGTTGTTGAGACTTGTAGCCGTAGGTAAAGTATATTGCGTGAGTCACCTACAATGCACGTGGCCTGGAAGTGGTATTTTGGTCTTAGAGCTCCGTCATCATCATCAATCAGCCAATCGCGTCCACTGTGGACATAGGCCTCCCTCAGTTCTTTCCAGTGTTCTCTACATTGGGCCGCTTGTAGCCAGTTTCCCGCTACACGTTTAATGTCATCGGTCCATCTAGTCGGTGGTCGTCCTCGGCTTCTTTTATAATTTCTGGGCCTCCATTTCATAATACGTCTTGTCCACCGTCCATCTTGTGTTCTGGCTAAGTGCCCTGCCCAGTTCCACTTAAGCGTCGTGGTTCTTTCGATGACGTCTTGAACTCCTGATCTTCGCCCTGATTTGTTGGTTTGTTATGTGGTCTCGAAGGCTCACGTTCAGCATTGCACGTTCCATGGTCGTTGTGTAACTCTAAGTTTATTCGCAGATTTTTTGCGTGAGTGTTAAAGTCTCTGCTCCATAAGTTTGTACAGGTAAAACACATTGGTTATAAACCTTTCGCTTGAGACACATGGAATTGAACTTTTTAGAATATGGCTTAATTTGCCAAATGCTGCCCATGTTAGACCTATTCGCCTCTGTATTTCATGTGTTTGATTGTCTCTGCTTATTTTGATTTCGTGTCCCAGATATTTGTAAGTGTCTGTTTGTTGTATGGTATTATTGTCAATAGTTATATTTCCACTCATTACGAGATTTGTTATAATTTTAGTTTTCTCAAAGTTTATCTTTAATCCTGCTCTTTCAGACAGACTTTTAAGCGAATGCATCATAGAAACTGTATCATGTAAGTTATCTGCGATTAATACAACATCATCTGCAAACCTTAGATGATTTAATCTTTCTCCATCTATATTGATGCCCATATCTTGCCATTGAGTACCCTTAAATATTGACTCTAGAGCTGCCGGTGAACAATTTTGGTGAAATATTGTCTCCTTGTCTAACTCCTCGACCTAAGCTGAATTTTTCTGTGTCTTCGTGCAGTCGTATACTTGATGTAGCGTTCTGATAGATGTTTTTGATTAGTGTCGTGTACCTGTAATCTATTCGGCTTTGATTTAGGGCTTCCAGTATTGTTTCAAACTCTACAGAATCAAAAGCCTTCTCGTAATCGACAAATGCAAGAACCAGTGGTATGTTGTACTCGATGCACTTTTCTATTAAGATCTTTATGGTATGCAAATGGTCATTTGTGCCATATCCTGCCCTAAAGCCTGCCTGTTCTTTGGGCTAATAGAAATCAAGTTTAGGTGTTAGCCTCTTTGTTAAGATTTTCATAAAGAGTTTGTACATATGTGTCAAGAGGCTGATGGGTCTATAATTTTCTAATTTAGTAATATCGCCTTTTTTGTGTAACAAGACTATTACTGCATTGTTCCAGTCTTTTGGAATCGTACCCGCATGTAAGCATTTAGTAAACAGTTCGCTTACTGATTTTAATAAAATTTCTCCACCTACTTTTATTGCCTCGATAACGAGTCCATCATCACCAGGCGATCGATGGTTCTTGATTTCCTTTAAAGCTGCTCTTACTTCTGACACAGTAATGGGTAAAAGTATTTCCGATCCTGATTTATGAGAGTCTTTACTTGTGTCGGGAAATTATCTTGTGGTCTTTGGCTGGTATAGAGGTCTTTATAAAATTCTCTAGTTATATTTCAGAATGTTTTGTTTATCTGTTGTTGCCTTTCCGTCTTTATCTCTCAGCTTGTATATTTCTTTTTTACTTTGCGTAAGTTTTCTTTTCATTATCTTTAAACCTTTGTTCTCTTCTACTGTTTGAGTTATTACATTAGTATTATATCTTCTTACATCTTTTCTAATTTCCGCTGAAATTCTTTTTATTTAGTTTTTTTATACTCTTCTTTGTTTCCCTTTTCGTTCTCGCTTAGGTTTCGTCGTAATTCCATGAGAGCCCTTGTATCTTTGCTAATCTTTGCACTTTTGGTGTCATTTCATATGACCTCATGGTGGTGCCCTTTGCACGGACCTCATAGAGCTCCGTGCGTTAAATATAATTCACGGTCATAAATCAAGAAAAAATATTTTTTTTGTAACTCATCACAAAAATTTAATAACCTAATGCATTTTTAATATGAATTAATAAAAAAAAGTATGGAGCCTAAAATGGAAATTTTTTCTTTCTATTTGGGCAGCCAATGTGTTAAAACTGGTTTAAAACAAAAGTTACAGCTTAAAACGTGGGATAAGAAAATTTCATCAGGCATCTGTCAAAACACATATTTTGGTCTGAACACGAGGTCGAGTGTTTAAAATACGGCGCGTTTGAACTACAAGCCAAGGCGCATTAGACGAATGTTTTAAGTATTTTTCACCGCTGCTGACGTCATTGGTAGGTGTAGCGTTTACCGCTACTGACTAGTCCAAACGGAACGATCAGTTTTGGTCAGAACTCGAACGAAACGCAGCCACGTCAGCCGGTGAAATTGTTCACCTTTAAAGTGACGGAATTGGAGCAAGGAAGATAATTTGGGGAAAAATATAATTCATTATATAATAATAGCAAAGAATATAGACGCTTATAGAAGAACAGTTCAAATGGACGACTTGGATAGGGTTTACACTTTAAAACACATCTGGCAGTCGGCTTAAACTATCTCATAAAAGATGTAGTTAGGGGAAAGTGGGAAAGGAGTACGAACGGAGCTATTTATTTAACTGCATCTACGATTAAAAAAAATCCCATGCTTTTTTTGTTTTTTTTTTTCACAATAAAATCTTTATTTTCAATATATTAAATTGTTAAATTTTTGAAATTTAAAAAGGTATGATATTTACAATATTCAAAGCATTTATTTTTTACATTTTATAACTTTGAATTAAAAATAGGTTTGTTCCAACACAACGAAAAACCGTCACATAAATTTTTATTATACTGTTTTTCTGCCCAAAAATTAACGAAATATATTTTTAAAATATTTCGTTAATTTTTGGGTTAATTCAACCAAAAATTTGATTTTCTCAGGACTTTTCATTAAGCTTTTTAGACATGTTTCCATTATTCTGCAGAAAAAACAGTGTTGTGTTTTACATTTTGTTATTTTATATTAAAAACAAAGAAGAAATTATTAAATTTAGAAAATTTGGAAATATTTAATTCCGGTGATTGATGACTTTATTGGTTGAATTAATTTTATAGTTAATAAGAAGAGAGTTCTTCTTATTAACTATAATATTATTTGTAGATTTGTACCTATTTAAATTAAAAATTCGAATCATAATATTTTTTCTAATAGGATTCATTTATTAAAAGTTAAAATATTATTATTTTCTTTAAAAAATATTATAAAACGCAAAAATTTAATCCTATTCTACGGCCACGCGGCATTATGTGTTCGTAGTTCTCTGGCATTATACATAAAAATATCTGTTGCATTTGTTGCCCCACTCTTTCATATTTTAAAAGCAATAATAGCGTTGACATGACCGCTCCCTTCTCGATCCACCCTCTCATTCTTTTTCATAACGTGCGATCATCTTTTGCAAACTTTCAAACATAACAGTGAAAGATTCTTCTATAAGCGTCTATATTCTTTGATAATAGTAATAATTAATTTTAAAATCAATATTCATTTATGAGTTCCACATAAAAAGGAAGAGTTTTTTTGGGCGTGCTGCGAGCTCCATGTAAGTAAATCATTTTATACGTATTATCTCTTTATCATATAATCAAATTTATCATTGTATTTAGTATTTCTTTAGAGATTTATTTTTGAGTTCCGAAATAATTTAAATATAAAAATTTCCTTGATTTACTTACAAAGAACAGAAGGTCATTTTTTTTATATAGTTAAACTTAAATTCTGTTTTATTCCACGTCGTTATCATTAAGTTTTTTTGGTTCTTTTTTACCTAACTTTTTGGGTGGAATATAAAAGGTTCTACAAATGTGGTACAGCCTTCTGTATTCTGCGCATGTTCTTTTCATGGCGCAAGCTTGCCATGCCTACGAAAGTAACTTCATAAATTTGACATGATGTTGACTTAACCTATACCAAATGTTTTGATGTTTTGTTTTGGTGCAGTCAATCCATGTTGCTACACCTATTGAATTACATATTTATTAAATTAAATCAATTTTAGATTCCGTCACGTGAAAATATTAATTTCACTTTACTTGAGGATATTCTCTTCAGAATATTCCCTCAAGGACTCAAGTAACTGAATCCTTAGATAGTTAGCAATTGTGTATGAAACCCGTGGATTTTGCTGTCACCCAGAGACAGTGACTGGTTGTGGCTTTTGTGACCAGGATTCGTCTTTACAGCCACAAACTGATGTAGCCGTGCCAAGAGGAGTTTTTCCTATGGACTTATAGTGCTGTAAAGATAAGTCGTTTAACTATTTGACCTTTTGTATTACGTATTACTTTATATTTACTGTTAACTGATCATATGCATATGATAAGGTGAATACCTTTATGATAATTTTTTTTATGATAATTTAATTATAAAATATTGGGAGGAAAAAGGGACACTTCATGTGTTATTAGGTTTTAACTAGGATTTAGAGAGTCTGACCAAACTCACTTTTTTTTGGATATAATATTTTTGTTAATATAATACATTTGATATTAAGAGGGACATAAATTTAATGTGGTTTGTTTTTAAATATTATATAATGAGTATGGAACACTCATTTTTTGGATGTAATATATATATTTAATATAATTGTAATAGAGATTTATCAAGTTTGATATCTTTACAATATTGTCATTAGTACCTCATTTTAGTAGAACTAATTTAAATTTAAATGACTACCTTTTTGTTTTAAGACTTTGGCTACCCTACGGACTATTCTTGTTGTATACTAATATTTCATATTTTATTTGGCCAGTGGTAGTGACTATTCATTTGTTGAGGGGCTATTAGGTCCTATTGTATCTGTACACCATCCACTACCACTGTTATTTGGCTTTGCATTATATGTAAATTGTTTATACACATATACCTATATACATTTGTTTATAAATATATTTATTGTTGCTATTTTGAGTTTTATTTCAGTTCTACTAACCAGTATATAACATAGCAAAACAAGATTATTATTTAGTATTTTTGGATTTCAGAGTATTATCTCAGATTCATTTGTTACTTCAAAATCTCAACTATCGTTGAGTTGGCGCCCTTCTTTTCTCTTCTTATTGTTCTCTTTCTATAAATTTATTCCCAGTGACCTTCTTCAGTTGTATCCCGTTTGATATTACCAGGTCTCATTTCTTTCTTGTCTCATTAACTCATTATCTCTTGTTATTGTTGTTTATATCTTTAAAAGCCACAATCCAGTGCATTGAAGCTAGCCCGAACACTCTCTTGAGATTTAGTGTCTCTTTGGCCATTTAAATTTGTTCCTCTGAGCTTAGCCCTATTTTTAGTATTTTTTTTTCATCACTTCTCTTTCAGTTCTTCTGAAAATTTGGAAGTTCTACACTTCCAAAAACCCAATACTCCCGGAGTATTGAGCGTTTCATAGGCCGCTAGAGGCACTAATCGCGTTTTAACCCAAGTATCCATTTTACCTCACTTTCCCCTATTTGGTTAAAAAATCTCATGTTTGGTGGCAAAAAAATATCTTAATTTGTCTGGACTAAAGGTGGTGTTTGTTTGAATTTGCCGGAGGACCATAGATAGATGGAGGCAGCTTTAACTAATTTGAATTCACTTTTAATTTATTTTATCGCTCATTTAATTCAATAACAAAAATAAAAGTACTTAAGTGTTGTTTTTAAAAATTCAAATAAGATAATGCGATAGCCATTAGCAAATATAACCAAGATACTTCATCTAATACACTCAGTGATTGTGTGCACTAATTAAAAATGGTGTTTAATTTAAAGGATAAAGTTGCCATCGTCACTGGGGGAGCTGATGGTATAGGTTTGGCTCTTGTAAAACAACTGCTAAATCAATAAAATTAAGGTAAAATCATTGGCAAAATAATAATAATAATAATACATTCCATGATTATTTTTTTATTAACAAAATCGCATCAGCCAAATTGGCTATTAGGGACACAATAGTAGCGAAAAATAATTTGTATTAAATTTATATATTTAGTTAGCGTTTAGAATTTTAATTAAAGTTAAGAAACTTTTTAGGTTTGACATACCGTAAAACGGTGTTACTTTGCACTATAGTTTTTAGTTTCATTTTCTTAGAGTGGATATACAGTTACTCAAAAGAAGATCTGAACTTTTTATATAAATATTTATTCAACAGGTCGTAATATAGCTCTTATTATAGCTGTTTTTTAGTTATATTGCATAATTAAGAGATTATCCTAATTTTATTAGTGGTGCAAAGTATACTCTAGAAGAGTCATACTTTGCACCACTTGATATTTTAATAATATTTAGCTACGAAATGCTTGCTGGTACATTTAGTAATCCTATCTGATTTTAAATTTTGCACCATTTAAATGCAAAAAAATGTTGCTCTGCCAGGTTTTTGAATATGGACCTACCTACATTTATGAAAGAAGCCTAACGGGAAAGAACATTGCTACATTTCAATGAACAAACTTTATATAAGTACAATAGTGAAAATACAAAATTTGAATTCAATCCCACCACAATTTGTCGCATTCTGGAAGAATGTAAAATCCTCGTCTGGAAATTTTTAACACAAAGTGTCTTAATGGCTGTGGAATGCACGGTAGATCCATAATCTAATTATGATCTAATTAATGTTCCGTATAACATCAAACATTGGTTAGTGCTCTCAAAGATCTATATTATGGTTCAAACTCCCAAATAAAATTCGGAAACCTCTTAGCTGGAAAATTTGCAGTTACTAAGGGTCTCAGACAAGGATGTTGTATCTCTCCGACTCTATTAAGATTTATATCTCTGCAGCTCTGAATCAGCTGGTGCATCTCAAATGACAAAGACGACATGGAATACATGCTTAGAAAACTAATTGAAGAATACCAGAAATGGGGATTAAATATCAATTGAGAAAACATAAAATATCCTCTCAATTGGAGCTGAAGCAGAACAACTCGATATCGATGACAATCAAAAAATAAATCCATGTGACGAATATAGATACCTGGGCGTTATCTTCGACCATATTGGAAAAGACGAACGAGAAATAGAACATCGAATTGTACAAGCACGAAGAGCTATAGCATGTTTGAACGGAGTTCTATGGAGTAAAGAAATATCAAAGAAAAGAAAATGGAAACATCTATGAGACAATGGTTTAAAACTGGCCTACTTTATGGAGCTGAGACATGGAGAATAACCGAGAAATATAAGAAAAAGGTCGAAGCCACGGAAATGGATGCCATCAGAGGATCGATGAGAATATCAAGAGCCGACAGAATACGGAATGAAGTGATAAAACAACAAATGGGTATAGAGGCACTATAGTTGAGGATATTGAGAGAAAACAGCTCATATGGTATGGGCATGTGAGCCGAATGGGGGACGAAAAATTGCCTAAAAAACGATGATGTGGCAACCCCCAGAGAAGAGAAAACGAAGAAGACCACCACAGAGCTGGAACCTGGGAGTTAGGAAAGCGATTAGCGCTCGAAATCTGGACGAAGACCTAACTCAAGACAGAATGCAGTGGCGTTTGGGAGTCGGACAACGTCTTAAGACGTTATAAAACCGAATATATATTATATATAATATATATATATATATATATATATATATATAACATCAAAAGTGTTTGGAGATCCACACCCCATTCTTTATTGGCCAGAGTTTTTAGAAGATTTAATCGCTTGTGACAAGACAAGATCAAATTCGTTATATGAAGTTTCCAGCTTAGAGTTTCTTCGATTGTCATGCTCAAGAGTGACGTTCCGCGTTTTAGGTTCTCATCACATAGTCTTTGGTTGGGGATATTTGTGATATTTTTCTTAGAAAACAGGATGAAACGAGTTTTTTCAGTGGAAATACAGAAACCTGTTTATTGTGGCCAGAGTTCTAAGTGTTCTATAAAGTTCTGTGTGTGTTAAAACATATGTTGTATATTTTTGCCTTTACAAAAAACTACAAATTCATTCGCGTAGTCTCTAGACTCGTGCCTTATCGGTGAGTTTAGATTTTTGAGAATATCATTGATTGCCCTATAAAGAGGTTAGGGCTTATAACCGAGCCTTGAGGAATGCCATTTTCTGGATACGTTATATCTGATAATCTGTTTCATTTCTATAAATTTTTGTGTAATTTTTTTTATCCTACTTCTAATTTCAACGAAGTTATAGTTGTTTTTATTAACAGTTTTATAAAACAGCTACACAATCTTCTTCTTCGCGTGCCATATCAGAATTATCCGACGTTGCGAAGGTTTCTCAATCATCTGCAATATGGAATAATTGTCCAGCATTTGATATCTGAGTCCATTCACGAATGTTTTTTAACCAAGAAACTTGTTTTCTTCCTACATCTCTACGGCCTTTATTTTGCCTTTAAGGATCAGTTGTAATATTTTATATCGACTTCCCCTTACTATATGTTCCAATAAGACATTTTTCGATGTGTAACAGTCTTTAGCGTTCTCTATCTTTGTTGACGCTCCTTAATAGTTCTTCATTAGTTTTCCTTGCTGTCAAGGTATCTTCAGCATTCGTCTATGAACCCACATTTCCAATGCTTCAATTTTGTCATGCTCGATACTTTTAGCATCCACGCTTCTGCACTATACAAAAATAGGACCAAACATAGCACTTAACCATTCTTTGTTTTAGTTCTAAATTGAGATGATTATTGCAAAGAAATGACTTCATTTTCATAAAAGTAGTTTTAGTCATTGCTATTCTACGTTTTATTTCTATGTCTGGATCTAGTTGGTCCGTTATCACAGTTCCCAAATATGTCATTTTGTGAACTTTCTCAACTTGGACTCCGTTTCATTGAAGTTTTGCATCGGGATGTGGGTCACGAGTAAACACTAAAATTTTGATTTTGTTTGAGTTTATTTTAATACTCATTTCCTCTCCTACCTCGTGAATACGATCAAGCAGAATTTGGAGACTTTCAATATTATCTGACAAAATTACTGTATCGTCTGCATATCTAATCACATTAAGTATTTCCTCGTTGATTTTTATTCCATATGGTTGTCTCTCAAGTGCCTTTTTAAATAACTAGTCCGAGTAAACATTAAAACACTGTTGGCAACAAAAATGCAACCTTGTCTGACTCCTCGTTGTATGGGGATTTCATCGATGTAGTTATCTCCAATTTTTACGATAGCAGTTTGATTCCAGTACAAATGACACGAATATCCTTCTCATCTAGGAAATCGCAATAAATGATTTTCGGGCCACAGCAATATCACCTATAAATCGTGACATTTTTCCGGAGCACGCATTTTTGCCTAGTGCAACTACAGATGTGCCTGAGAATGTGCCTGGTTCTACTAATAAACCTGACATTGCTGCTACATCTTTACCTGCTGACGTTAATGTTCCTCACGCGGCAACTTACGATCATCATGATGTCCAAGAACCATCGGCATCTGGTTCTAAAGATGAATCTATTGAAGGAATCCTGATGAAATTGGCACCGGTACCTCAGAGTCTTCTTCTTCTTCTTTCAGTGCTATTCGTTCCGAATATTGGCAATCATTCTGGCTATAATTATTTTATTGATGATGCTTTAAATAGATTCGTTGTTGTTGTGGAGAACATTTCCTCAGGTTCTTCAACCATGATATTCTCCTTCTCCCAATTCCTCGCTTTCCGAATACTTCCTCAGAGTAATGTAAGAAAATCTACCAAACGTAAATCTGGTCAATACCAAGATGTATTAACTGAGAGCCCGTTCCTGAAATATCTCCGCGAAAAAGAAAATGAAAAAAAAAAGCACAAGAAATAAAAAGCAGAAAAGAAGACGTAGTGAAAAGAAAAATAGTTAATGATTTAAGTGATAAAAGACGCATTGTGAACAAAGATAGACATCAGTGGGAGAGAAAAGGCGAAGAGAAATATTATGACCAGACCAATATTGAACAATTATATCAAGTGATATAGAAGAACCCTTTAGTATTGATGATGATGAACTAGAGGACTGTGCTTGCATTTACTGCAATGATACGTTTGTAGTGGGTCCAAATCTAATGAAGGTGGTTAAGATGCCAAAATTTGCCAAAACTGGTCACATTCAGAATTTGCTGGACTTCCCAAAAAAAGCAAAACAATTTATTTGCGAACTTTGTATGAACTAAAATGTTTAATTTCAATTTTTTTTCTTTGTACAAAATAAAAAATTTATAATTATTTTTTGTATTTTAACACTATTGTTCATGTGTATGCCATTTTTGCCGCACTATGCGGGCAAAATGGTTTTTTGTTACATTTTGATTTTTTTTAAATAAATCTCTTTGTATGAATGATTTTTTGTTACTTAGAATAGTAGAAAATGACCTGGCTATCATTATACATCCAAAGGAATGATTTATCTCTATTTATGTCTCAGATATATGGAAAATAAACTAAGTATGCCGTCTTGCCCGCCCTTCCCCTATTCCAAAATTTTTCAGTATTTGCATTAATTTTACATGCTGTACAGCAATTTTTAACACGGCATTTTTGTATAGGATGTTAAGCGCAAAAAGTGCCTCTCTGGTTCCCATAGCATTTTCTAAAGCCAAATTGGGTATCTTCGAGATCTTCTTTGCATTTGCGTCTAATTCTGTTGTGAAGTATTCATAGGAAAATTTTAAGAGTATGGCTCATTAGGCTAATTAATCGATATTCTGAGCATTTTCTCGTATTGTGTTTTTCAGTATTGCGAAAATGATTAGTAACGGTTTGCAACTGCAGTGTCAATTCTATGGTGATTTTTTGGGGGTGTTCTATGAGCCGTTAATGCAGTGGATCCCCTTTGCCTTCTGAACTCTTATACCGTTGACCATTTTTTGTTGATTCATCCGCCTTCGGGGCCGATTTCTCAACTACAGGACAAAAGAATGCCCTACCACTCACCAACTCATCCGCCCTAAGCCGTTGGTCAGTAAGTAGGGAATTGCTTATGCCGGCAATCACTCGGACGTCACAGTCTCATTTGTTATCTAGCAGGATGCACCGAATGACCATAATTAAGATCATCATGCGGGCAGGTGAGGTTGACATTTGGATACTATACGTTGCTCATCACTATCCCTTGCATCCCACATCCACTTACAAATAGTTAGGTATATTTTCTTAAAGTTTGTTTTTTTTTTAGGGAATAGTAATTGCCGATATAAACGAAGAAAATGGTAAAATTAAATCAAAAGAGCTTAGTGATGAATATGGTTCTGAACGAGTAGTTTTTGTTAAAGTAGATGTAGCAGATTCGAAAACATTTCAGAGTAAGTTACCTTATACTTCATGTCTCTACTCTCTCTACTCTGCTACTAATTATAACATTTTTAGATGCATTCGATATGGCTCTAAAGCATTTCAAAAATGTCGATATTCTTGTTAATAACGCAGGCGTTGGAAACGATAGACAGTGGGAGAGGGAAGTTGACATAAATTTGGTAATTATTATTTAAATCTTAAAAAATTAATTAATATGTGATTTTAATGGTATTCTTTAAAATTTGTTACAACTTTCACTCTGTTAATAGTTACATGACAAAAATATTTGAAATTAAAATTAAATTAAACATAAACAAATCTAACATATTGACGTTAATGTGTCTTATATTTCTAAGGCCGGCTCCACACATGGGATCCAGCGTTGGCGCCAACGTTGGAGCCAACGTTGGTTCAACTGTGTTTCCACGTTCAGTGAAGCATCCACACATTAAGGCGCATACAGATACACGAGCCAAACGTATACGTACCGTACGCGTACAGATCCTTGAAGATATATCTACATCGTACTGATCGCATACTTATCTCAATCCATGGAAAGCGATAAAACCAACCAAGAACATACCATGTGCGAAATGATTCGTTTTATTTATAATTTGGGTACTGATTTATCGTGTTTCTGTTTTGATTGTTTAACAAAAATAAAAATATGTACAATCAGTTTACTGTTTTCTCACGTCTCTCTAGGACGGAACACGTCATTCACACAATGTCGATTTGATGAGACAATAAAAATGTTCTCTGCGTCTAGTAGCGCCGTCCAAACTAAAGAAGAGCTTCTTTTAAAGTCGTGGAATACACGGCAACAATTTGGTTCGCGACGAGTCACGATAAAGCAGTACGCATACAGTACGCAAGCGGTTTTTTCTGCCGTACAAATTAACGAATATAGCGTTCACATACCGTATGCATACGGTTTGGCTCGTATATGTGTACCGAGCTTTAGGTTAAGTATTGGGGCGATATCAGTCTCTTCCCTCTAGAGCCAACGTCTACAAGTCTCGACATGGAAATTGAAGCGGTTGTGACTGTCGTGATAATGAGTGCATATGATTATATTTTGCTACAAAAAAGGCGAATTTTACGTCATTTTGTCTACAGCGTAACTTAAAGCTACTAGATCTTTAAGGATATCCTATTTGGCAACAACTATGTATGAGTGTAAACCTGACGTCGAGGCTCTGAATCCCATTTATTATTTTATTAACTCAATTTCCAAATTTCTTAGCGTTCTGTTTTGGCTATAGTCTGCATTAAAACATGACTTTAATCCACAGCCGATACATATTTTAAAAGTTGAAAGTAAAAGTAGGACAAAATCTATATTTCAAAATTAAAAGCATATACTTTTATAAGATAAGTACATTTTTTTCTAAGTGCCTGACTGAAGAAAACAGATATGTATATGATTTATTTATCTAATAAATAGCCTCTTTAGCCTAAACCCCGTTCTGATAGATCACCGACGTGCATCGGAATGTTCATCCTAAACAACTCAACGGAAGTGGCTCAGGTGGTCGAAGATCGATTTTAACATGTTGTAAATTTGTTTTTTAATGCCGTCATGGAATGGAAATTTTCTTCGATAAAGTAATTTTATTTTCTAAAAAGAATGCTGTGTAAAATGGCAGCACAAGTGTTTTAAAAGAAAAAAGAAGACGAGGACTCTTTTTATAAACTGTGGCTTGTCATTGGTTTATTTTCTTTTGCTTTGCTAGATTGTGCAAAATTGGGTAACTAATTTTATGCAGAATGCGAAAATTACGCGCCAACAACTAAATTATGTGCAAATAGCATAATTATACGCCGATTGGAACACTGCTGTAGCGCCAATGTGTGGTCGGCAATCCCAATATTGGAGCCAATTCCTTTGATGTGTATGCAAAAACCGACAGTCCACGGAAAACTACCAAAGTTGGAGCAAGTCCTAAAAACGTTGGCCTAAACAGCGTTCGTGTTTTCTCTATTCTATCATTCTGTACTACCAATCAAACTGCCCCTGACCTATAAAATAGTTGACAAAGTCTTTCTCTTCTTTGTCGAGCTTCAGGAAAATAGTTACCCTAAAAAGTTGCACTTAAGTCAACTGGACCATTTGAGTTCACACTGCGCCAATTTTCAGGAATTATTCGTCTTTAGTTCATTATCCTCAATATCTGCTGTAAGTGTTGTATCATTTCCCACTTTTAATATCCAGTTGTATAAAACACAAACAGCTTTTAATGCTTTTACTACTGTGTGAGGAGCAAGTGATATTGGGGATCTGAATACACGAAAAGGGATTGACATGATGCCAAACGTATTTTATACTAAACGTCTCGCCCTACAATGTCTATAATTAAATACTTTCTGGGCAATACTTGATCAGTTTCTTCGAAGATATGGCTTCATTAAATATGGCTTGAGTGGAAATGCTTCAACTCCTAATATAATAGATCCGTCAAGATCGTTCAATACATTTTCGTCAATGGTTTTTCGAAGAGGGGACTTGGCAAATATTTCACCATTTGAACTGCTGTCGTAACTTTCAATATCAATAAATGTAAAATTCTAGGTATAATCCATCAGTGTCAGCAGTACAATGCTAAACGTTTCTTTGTAGTTGATGTATTGATAACCGGAATTAGAAAGACACTAAATCAATATATGCTTTCCATCAAGTGCTCCAATACAATTAGGAAATATATATCCTGCAAGATCAATTTTCAGCAGAAAGTGAGAAAAATGCATCATCAGATGAAAAATCAACTATTTAAAGTCTCAAGAAGCCCTTCCACCACCAATCCGGTGAGAACGACACAGAGAAAGTTTAACAAGTCCAATGTACAGCCTACATCTGATGGAAAATTGACGCAAGAGTCAAGAAAAAACGAAGAAAGCCCTTCCGTTCATTGAGTTCATAATAGTTTAGACAAATCACACAAGGTTTCCAAATAAAAAAACAAAGAGGGGGATAATTCTTCAGAAAAGGCTGTAAAAGCTTTGAAAGAAGTGGTATCCAAAAATCGTCTGTTCCCGATGAATTTGACGTATTTGGTCAACATGTTTCTGCTTAACTTAAGCTTCTTCCTTTAAAAGAAGCAATAATACTACAGGCCTATATCCAGAGATTAATATCCACTGTTATCGAATATGGCGTCAAAGTCATCTGGTAGAAACTGGCTTATCGAACACTTTGGTACTCCGTAAAGGTACTACAAAGCTCCTAGTGAGTCGTAAGTAGCAAGATATCGGTAAGCTATTTAAAGTTTCAACTTTGCTAATAGAGGCATTCGCATAACGATATTATTCTTCTGTATCTTAATGCTAACCTTAAAAAAAAACATATTTTTTTATAAATAAAATTTACAATTATTAGGTGTATCAATTATTAGGTATGTCTAAAATGTACCTACTGTATTTGCTAATGTATAAAACATTTTATCATTCATGCGTAAAAAGTTAAAAAAGCTTTTGGGATCCTCTACAGCTAGTTCTTTTCAAAGTGTTGCAGAAGCACCAAGTGTATTTCTCATTTTTATCCATTTTCTTACCCATACCTCTTAGGTCTTTTTAGTATTTTGCGGTTTTTTTTAATTATTTCATCAACAATAGCAGCTACGGCAGCAATTAACACTGTATCGGCCATCTTGTTATTGATTGCTATTGTGATAATTTTTTATACGTGTAAACACCTTACTTTCATGATAGGATAGCTTTTTCAAGATTACTATCGTGAGAGTACTTTCGCGAAACTGCTATCACCGTAAAAATGTTTGCTTGTTTATAAAGATATATCCTATAACATGTAAATATAACAAGGGTCTTATTTTTTAGAAGGGAACTATAAATGGCATGGTCTTGGGAATTGAAAACTATTTAAAAAATCACAAACAAGGGAATGAAGCCGTAATAATGAACCTATCATCGGTTACTGTTCTACAACCTCTTCCTATGTTTCCAGTATACGTTGGAACGAAACATGCAATTGTTGGATTAACGAGGAATTGGGGTCATCCCTTACATTATAATCGAACCAGAGTTAGAGTTGTTGCTATTTGTCCAGGAGTGACTGATACTCCCGCTATGAGGGCAGATATATCGAAATTGTGTTTTAATGAAGATTATCAATATTTGCAACAACAGGTCATTGAGAACTTCGCTGTTCAAAGGTATGGTTTAAAAAACTGCATAAAAAATCGTAAGACTTATGAGGCTAAAATTACTGTCGATAATATGATACATACACTAACGCAAACTTTTTGCGAACTTTCCATCACAATTTATCCATACTTTGGACTGGCTGAACTGTTTATAATAATGTATAAAACAAATCAGGTGTTTTAAAAAGCCGATGTTTTACCATTGTCTATTAAATGCAAAAACATTGACATTAATTATTAATATGTACCTATCGGACCGGGTTGTAAAATAATAACAACAGTATAGGAAATACTACCACTTTATACTTATCACTCCAAAACGTAATACAAATAACAATATACGTTAATTATGCTGGTTGCACCAATAGATCTTAAGCTCCAGCTTAGCCAAGCTCTGCTTAATAGCTAGGGCTGTCTTAACTCTCACTTACGTTGCACCATAATTTTCGATTCTAAAATATTCTTTATATTCTTAAAATAAAAATACAAAATTTGGTTGATCGCCGTCGGACGGTTTGGTTGTGATCGGTCGATCAGTCTGAGCTGAGGCCTACCTAAGCACGTCTTAAGCTTAAGATATTATTATGTTGGTGCAACCAGGCATTAAACAATCGTACCATCTGTCTCGTCCAGAGTTTCTTCCCAACTGATTGTGACGTAACCGCCCTGCATGGTTGCCAATACATATTTACAAAAATTCTAAAAGCTGGTATTATATGGTATTATATGGTATTATATAGTATTATATGGTATTATATGGTATTATATACTGTTGTCAACCCAATTTGAAAATATATTTACCTAAATTACATACAAAAAATTACATACATACTTAAAAAATGCCTATATTTCCTTTTAACAAATATTTTTCAGACTATAAAGTAAAAACATATTACTTACTTCTCTTTTTAGTTAGAATTATTTTTTCAACATTTCCAACAACTCAATTGTATTAATTTTCATTAAACAAAGAAAAAACAGTCAGTATGTGTGTGAAGATTAAATAGTAACGATCTTTAAAATGATTTTCTATAAGATTGTTTCTTCTATCTAAGATTCTTCAGAGGGTTTAAAAGATATCCGTGTCTTGGAGTTTCCGGAAAAAACCTCTTCTGTTGGAAACATCTCAGGGGTAAAATTTAGTTATGCGATCTTGTATATACAATATTATTATTAATGTATTATAATTAATATATTAATGTTATTATTTAATTATAATAAATTTTGTATATTTTCAGTGCTGATCATGTTGCCAATGAAGCCATGAAAGTTCTAGAAAAAGCTGAAACTGGAACTGTGTGGGTGATCGAAGACAGTAAACCATTATATGAGTACAAAGCTCCAAACAGCGAAGAGTTTAAAAAGAATACATTAGTATAGTATACATAGTATAGGACATAGATAGGATAGAAAGCAGCATGTACTTGTATCTCGTTGACCAAAAAGAAGTGGTAAATGCAATACAATCTTTAAAACACAAAAAATCTCCTGGCTGGAATGGTATCAAGACAGAAACCATCAAACAAATTAAGGAATAAATTATTAGTCCTTTAACTTTTCTCATTAATGCATGTTTTCAGGATGGTTGTTTTCCAGAATGCCTAAAAATCAAACCTCTGTTTAACAAAGGAAATAAAGAAGACGTGATTAATTACAGACCAGTATCTTTGTTGTCTTTTCCAAAATATTTGAAAAAATTTTAAAAAATAGATTAGTAAGTTTTTGGATAGGTTTAGTATAATATCGGATTGTCAATACGGTTTTAGAGAAAGAAAATCTACACAAGATGCTATTTGTAAACTAACATCACAAATATCAGAAGCTTTTGAGTCTAATAAACGTAGTTTATGCATATTTGTCGATCTCTCTAAGGCGTTTGACACGATATCTCACGGGATCTTGTTAGAGAAACTTGAGAAGTATGGTCTGAGAGGACGCGTTTTAACATTACTAAAAAGTTACTTACAAGACAGAAAACAATTTGTAGAAACTGATGGTGTCGAAAGTGATCCTGAATAAATTACGAAAAAACTAAATATATACCTTTTGCAATATATAAAAATTCTCTGCCAACTTTTAACTCATTAAAAAATAAATAAAAAACAATAAATATTTAAAGCAGAATACATAAAATATTTTGGAGTTTTAATTGACAGGCACCTTAAATGGGAATTACAAATAAAAAATATTATAAGAAAAATACAAGGACTGTTACCAAAATTCCGCTATTTAAAAGAGTTTTAGATGTTGAACAGCTTAAAATGCTTTACCTGTCTTTAGTACAATCTTGTATATGGGATTTTAGGATGGGGTGGCGTAGCTGATTGCCATCTGGTGACCTTCAAAATACTCAGAAATGGTTTCTTAAACTAATACATTGGAAAACGAAAAAACATATCCTCAGACAAACTTTTTCATGAAACTCAGGTTCTTGATGTTCGGCAATTGTACTGCTTAGAGCTACTTAAAAATATTCATAAAGATAAAATACCTCTTAAAGTAAAAGTGTCAAATTATGAAACAAGAAGAAAATTGAATGTTGAATGTCTTCACCACTTCAAAAACAATCACGCAACGGTCAATTAAATATTTTGCTCCAAGAATATACAATCAATTGCCCATAAATTTTAAAAATATCAAAAAGTTTTATTTGTATAAAAAATTTGTTAATGCTAGGGTAAAGGAAAAAAGGGAGTTGTGTAACAATTTAATAAATTTAAATTATACTAGATAAAAAAAAACGAAACAAATTAGATTAGATTAGAAACTGTAAAAATGAAATAATAATTTGTAAAAAAAAACATTAAACCTGTTAATATTAGACAGATTAAGTCAACAAGCATGTTAATGCTTTAGACTTTAGTTAAGATTTTTTTACGTTTATGTTACTGTAAGTAAACTGAAATTGAAATTGTAAATTAATGTAATACTTATTGATTTGAATAAACGTATATTATTATTATAGTAAACATGTATATAATAAAATATATAAAAACTAATGAAAGTTGTACTAACTCTCTCCAAGAACCTTTTGACGTTAATTTATAAAATATAGGGTAGGCCACGGGAATCTCGACATACGGGGCCGTACCGACGCAGTGGGTTTGGTTTTATTTTTAGTTGAACACATCACTGTATAGTGCTGCTGATCACAGCAGCAGTAGTAGCTGTAGGTAGTGGCATCACAGTTAGCGGTCCTTTAGTTTCTGTCATAAGGGGCAACTGAAACAAGGAGTCACTAAAAAGGGCATTTGAATTGGTTCAAAGTGGACGATCCGTAAAAAGTGTTGCCGCTGAATTGAATATACCAAGAATTATGCTTCACGACCGTCTCAAATCTAATTCTACCGAAAAACCAGCCTTGGGGAGGAAATCTTACTTTTCAACAGAACAAGAAGCTGTATAGCTGATCACATCAAACAACTATCAAACCAGTTTTATGGCATTACTTTGACAGACTTACGGAGACTTGCGTATGATCTTCATGAAAAGTTAAAAATAAAACATAATTTTAATAAAGGTACCAAAATGGCTGGGGAGGACTGGGTTTTCGATTTCGTAAGAGGAATGCTACCTCAAGCCTAAGACAACAAGTCTGAACCGAGTTATTGCCTTTAACAAATCTGAAGTGGATTAATCTTTTTCCAATTTGGAAGCAGTTTACAAAGAAACATCCTTTAAGTTCACTAGAATGTTTAATATGGACGAAACCGGTATATCTACTGTCCAAAACCTGGAAAGGTTTTAGCTACCAAGGGCCAACATCAGGTGGGCTCTGTCAGAAGTGAGGAAAGAGGCAGAAACATTACGATTGTCTGCATATCTACTGATTTGAGTGCTTCAGGTGCATACATACCGCCCATGTTTATATATCCTAGGCAAAGGATGTCATCTCAGTTAGAGAAAGGTAGACCAGCTGGAGCCATTTATAAATGCTCCCATAATGTCTGGTCAAATGAAGACTTTTTCATGCAGTGTATCATACATTTCAAATACAACGTAAAACCAACAGAGAAAGATCCCGTCTTATTGATCATGGACAATCACGGGAGTCACATCTCTCTTGATAGTTATGATTATTGTAGATCTAATCATATACATGTTGTCTCAATACCACCTCACATATCACATAAACTACAGCCTTTGGATTTGTCGTTTTATGGCCCCCTGAAGAAAGCATTCAACATACAGTGTTAGAGGTTCTTGAGGGAAAACCGATTTCAGAAGATTTCTATGTATGACATAGCATATATATTTAACAAAGCTTACTTGAAAGTCACAACGATAAATAAAGAAGTTTCATGGATTAGTGCTTCAGGGACCTTACCGTACAGCCTTGAAAAATTTACTGATATATACTTTGTCACTGAACAAGACACTCAAACTCCAGTCATCGTTGACTCTAAAAATGTTTATGAACCAGCACTTGGTGCAACTCTTCATGAACACAATCATAATGTCACTGAATTTACACATTTTAAAACATAATCCAAAAGATACGGTACAGAAATTTGGAACCAAGAGAACAACCTGCTTAGATTTAAGTGGGATTTATGAAAATCCATTACCTGCTAGTTCGAAAACGAATGTTGTACCAAATTCTTGTCCAAAATTCTCTGAGAATCTGTCTCATTACAAAGACATTTTAAAAGCAGTATCACACTCTTCCAAAATCATTTAATGACGATAAACCAATCCAAAAAATTTCAGAAAACAACACTCAGTAATTATGACTGGCAGCCCTATGAAAACGGTTTTGGAAGACACAAAGTTGTGTCCGTTGCGAACGTTGGCTATTACCATGGCAATTTTGATCTTGTTTGCTGCGCTTCTGAATAGTTCGAACCGATGTGAGCCCGAACCACTATCGCAGATTTTGGAGCCACGAGTGTCTTCTCCTGCCTGGCCCTCGCTTACTGTCTATTTTTCCCTGGACAATCAATTGTAGCAGATGGTACTTATCGTGTCTCAATATGTGGCCTAGATATTCAAGCTTTCTTTGTTTAATTGTATTCACGATTTCTTTCTCCTTTCCGATTCTTTGGAGTACCTCTATGTTGGTGACATGTTCGGTCCAGGATATACAAAGAATGCGTCGGTACACCCACATTTGGAATGCTTCTAGTTTTCTCGTTAGCGTCTCCTGTCAGCGTCCAGGCCTCCACGCCATACAGCAAGATCGGAAAAATGTAGCATTTAACTAGACGTAGTTTTAGGGGAAGAGACAAATCCTTGCTTATGAGGAGCTTTTCATATTGCTAAATGCTGCTCTAGCTCGTTCTATTCTCGCCTTAATTTCTATGGTCTGTTCCCATTTTGCATTTACGTTGGTGCCAAGGTACACATAAGATTCTACATGGTCAATTAGTATGTTACTTATCCGTAATTGTCGAGCAGGTTGTTGCTTTTTGCTTATCAGCATCCACTTTGTCTTCTTGAAGTTGAGGCTCAGGCCGTATTCCTCACTAACTGAATAAAGTATTTCCATTACTTGTTGTAATTCGTCTATGGTACTGCAAGGATCACCGTGTCGTCGGCATACTTATATTGTTCGTTAACTCGCCGTTTATTTTTATGCCCTCATTTGCATTTTCCATACATTTGTTAAATATTTCCTCGGAATACATATTGAATAGGAGTGGGAATAATATACACCCCTGACGGACACCTTTTTTATTTGCACGCTTTCAGTGAGTTCGTTGCCAATTTTTGCTCTTGCTGTTTGACCCCAGTATAGGTTTGCCACCATTCGAATGTCCTTGTCGTCAATACCTGTCTTTCGCAGAATACCTATCAATTGTTCATGATTGACATTGTCAAATGCTTTTCTAAAATCTACAAAGTACAATGACGTCCTATCAACGTCTCACACCGCTATATAAGCACCTGAGAGCGAAAATGCTTATTATTCCAAGTGCTCCGAAACCAAACGCGATCTAGTGACTCACATTATCATTATCTCTATGAAGATCTTAGGAACGCTTAGTGACATGCATAATGGTAGTCATCACAAATCGGCATTTGCTCGATTGAATAAATTTGACGCAGCCAGTTCTGCGGATTTTACCGCTAATATTTGTTAAAAGACAACTATACAAGACTTTTGTCGATTACATAGACTTAATATTCGCAGGCTACATTGTCCGGACCTGCTGACTTATTGTTTTTTAGTGCTGCAATGGCATCTTCTATCTCCGATTTAAGGATTGAAGGTCCTGTTTCTCCTTCTCCATATAGGTGATCATCAGTCCTGTCAAATGCAAATATTTTTTCTATGTATGATTTCCATGTTTTTAAGATCGTTGATGGCTCCAAGATAAGATTTCCATCGCTATTTTTTATGCTGTTGGGTGACTTATTGAATTTCCTCTTGTTTGTCATCGATTTTATTTTTTTGTGCATATTGTAACTGTCGTATTTTTATATAATAATACGTTCGTATTGTTCTATTTCCCTGCATTCGTTGGAAAACCATTTTTCTTTGGCTTCTCGAATTTTCGTTCTTATGGTTTTGTGGATCTGCTGGTATTTTTCTGCATTAGAAGCGTAGACTAGAAAAGTTATACAG